TAACGCGGGAGGATTCATCCTGTTCAGCCAGCGAAGGGCCGGATTCTGTCCGGCGCCCAACACCGGTCCGGCAGGTCCCTGATGGAAAGGTGCCTTTAAATTCGTTAGAGGGGAAGGTTAGCGGCTCTGCATCGGGCAGCAATCCCTGCTGCAGCAGCTGGGAGCACTCAGCCAGGCTGTCTGACCCAGGAGCTGGAGAGGCAGGGGGGGTGGACTCGGGGAGGCTCTTCGTCTCTGCCCTTTGGGTTCTATCAAATTCTAAAACCCGAAAGGTAGACTCTCCTGTTGCATGGCACCGTGGTATTCCAGCTCCTCAGGATCACCGGCGTTTAACCCCACCCTTCCTTAGGGGAACAGGACAGTCCTCTCTTCTGAGAGGATTGTTTTTAGTGTACCATGAATATCTCAGCTGTGTTTACTCAGACATAAAAGTGTTTCAGCTGGAGCTGACTAAAATAAGATGATTTGGTTTTGTTGCACGTGTGCTGTATTGCTTTTAGGTTCCTCTCATTGCCTGCTGAGACCTTCCATGCACCATAAAGGATGACGTCCTCAGTATGTACCACACCGGACAATAAAGAGGTGTGGGATACACTTCACAGGTCTCAAGGCTCTCACTAGAGTAGAGAGACTGTCTGCTCTCTTGTCCCAGAAGCCCAGAGGGATGTAGTTCTGGATTCTCTCACTACCTGCGGAAGCATTAAGTCCTTTCTGACTTGCGCCGAGCTCCTAGTCTCAGAGATGTTCTTCTGCAATGAGTCCTGTGTGTCAACCATCTTTTTCACATGAGATGAACTATCCCTTCCTCTGGCTTAGCTCTGCTCCCAGTTTCATGGCAGATCCCCAAGTTCACATCTTGTGAAAGTCAGAGTGGGATGTGGTCTATGGCTGGCCCTGATGCTCCCAATGCCATCAGCTCTGGGAGACCAACGGGGAGCTAAGTTGCCTGATGCATTACAGCTGCTTTGCTCCAGTAGAACGCAGGACATTTGTCACACTCTCTGTCCTACCCAGGCTTCTTTCTCTCATGGATTTGCCCAGAAAACAGCTGTAACCTCCTTCCACCCCAGCAAGCTGCTTTAACATCCATTTGCTTGTGAGAGGCATTCTCTTGTAGGTCCTCCAGAACTCCCCATGCTCCCCAGAGTAAGCAGACAATCTAAAGTGTCTGTATTATGGAATACATGGTCATGAACACCATCAGTCCTCTGTACCTTTATTTCCACTACAAAGCAGTTGATCTCTGACTCTTGGTGGTACCTGCAGCCAAGGCCACCGGTGTGGCTGAGCAGTGTGCTGGTTTGGGGTGCTGGGTGTCTGCTGCAGGCCGTGTGGTGGGTTGGCTGTCCTGGGCAGCTGGCCAGTCCTCTCTGCAGGAAGGTATCAGGGAGTCTTTTAGTGCTCTGAAAGCTCTGCTTGTTAGTGCCTTGCACTGTGTGAGTTCCATTGATTTGTGCTCACAGTCATGGGGCTTGATGGGAATGGCATGTACCAAACAAAAAGCAACTGCCCTCCTGGAGAACCTGACAGCTTCTAAATGACTTTCTTCTCCCACATGTTTATACATGTGTGTAGTTATACATAGAGCATATCTATAAGTACCAGTGTGCATAGTTAATAGGTTCCAGCTAACATCAATAGATCAATGAAATCTAAAATCACCATAAATATCTAATGGATATTGGTAAAGGTAAGGAAGCAGAGATTTTTTGTTTCCAGGGAATCATTCTTGTGTCTCTGGTGCTGTGTGTTGATTTGTTTGTGTATGGTGAAAGCGACAACCCTGTGTGAGTTCTGCGCCTCTACTGCTAACTCTTGCCTTAGCAGGAAAGACCGACCATTTCCTCACTGAAACAGAAACACTGAAAGCAGAATTCTGTTGCTGTTCGGGGGAGAAACTACAAGATAGATTAAACTCAACTTCTGATGTGATTTCCAGGTTCTGAATCATGGAGGATAACTGCTGGTGTTAGATGCAGACAAAAGCTACCTCTGCTCTTGAAAATGAGTCCCAAATGGCTCCACCTGTACATTCCAACAGAAAAGAACTGGCTGTTTTGAAGTGGAGGACGAAAGCACCAACAGCAGAGCCTTCTGTGGAATTCGGAGGAAAAATAGATTCAGGTGAGAACAAAGAAGAAAAAGCTGACAGGGATTAAAACAACTACAAACTGCCTGAGGTTTGCTTACATGTTCTACATATAATAACAAGGTTTTATTTCCAGCTTTCCTGTGGAGCTACTGTTCTTCCTGATACACGAAGGGGTTGAAACTGTGTGGTCCCAAACTAGCCCCTTTCCAACGTGTCAGTTGGAACTGGTCTTCAGTGCCACCTCTGCCCCTGGAGAGCCCATCACACCATGGAGGCTCCCCCCAGCTTTCCATTTTAAGGTGGTGTTTGTAATGTCAGCGGCATCTTCACCAGCCTCCTAGAGAACCAGGCAGTTCAAGGTAATGGATCACTTGCTATGTCAGCCAGAGATGTGAACCCTTGAGCTGAGTGAAGTCTAAGGTTAACCCACCATGCCTCGCCTGCTGCTTCAGTCATACAAGTCACAGATGATGGGGTTTCTTGAGGAGTTTGACCACTACTCTTCCTTGGCCAAACTCATGTCAATCTACCAAGCAACCAACAGGACCATCTTCAACTGGACAGACAGCCGCATTGTTGAGTGGGAGAAGTTTGCTGAGCTGGCTAAATATGAGCCTGAGTCCCAGAAAGTGACGGTGAAAGCTCTCCTCATTGTGGCATACTCAGTCATCATCATCATGTCTCTCTTTGGGAACATGCTGGTGTGCCACGTGGTGCTGAAGAACAAGAGGATGCACTCAGCTACCAGCCTTTTCATCGTCAACCTGGCAGTGTCTGACCTCATGATCACACTGCTCAACACGCCTTTTACCTTGGTAAGTGTCCCCTGTGCTGTCCCCTTGGCCGGGAGAAGATTCTCTCATGAGAACACTGCCTGGTGGTCATACCCTCTCTGCGCATGCTCTTCTAGGACTGAGGTGTGAACCCAACACAAGTCTAATAGCCAATTCTGCCAGGCAAGTAAAACACTGTTCAGCAACCTGGGGGCTCTCTTTGCTCTCTTAGATTCTGTATCTCCTAAAAGACTCTAAAGTCTCTTCAGGTATACCACCAAACCACAAGAGCTTCTTAGGGGAAGCAGAATAAGTGTCTGGATGAACATGTAATGTATTTACAGAGAGCACTGGAGGGTCGCGCTTAAAACTTAGTGGGTCAAACCGACTTGAATGCCAGTCATACTCAGGTCATTGGAAGAAAGTAGTCAAGCTTTTCAGAAGTGCCAGTTGGGTTAAGTCTTCAGTGAATGCTATCCAGACCAGAAAGAAGGGCTCTGTGTCTACTTTTTCCAAATATAATTGTTAGTATAATCAAAAAAGTTATTATTGCTGTTCATAAATGGTGTTTGTATGAATAGGCCAGGAGGGCTGCAACAGCACCACTTGTTTAATCTGTGGGTTTTGACCTTATAAACTCTTATGTAAAGGTGTTTCAAAATCCGATGTAGCTGACCTTTCTTTGGGTTTCAGGTGGAGCTGCCAAGCCACATGGGTTTCCCCATGGGTTTGGTTTCAGAACATCTGGCTGATGACCTGTTCTTTCCCCCCTCCAGGTTCGGTTTGTGAACAGCACGTGGATTTTTGGAAAGGCCATGTGCCACATAAGCCGCTTCGTGCAGTACTGCTCCCTGCATGTCTCCACGCTGACGCTGACGGCCATCGCTCTGGACAGGCACCAGGTAAAACACCCTCCAACCAATGTTCCCATGATTCTTCCCAAGCCCCTGTCAGTCTCAGCCATGCCATGGGTTCAAGATAACTGAATCTTGGGGATTAAACCCATATTCAGTGAGAAGCTAAATTCAAAGATACCCCCATGTACCAGGGATGGGAAGGCTTGATGGACTTCTGTAGGCTTCAGGTACAGGGCAGGAAGGAAAAAACAAAATGCAGCATTGCATATTTCACAAGGCACTCCCTGACTTTCAGTGGAAAAGGGAGAGGACATCTTTTTCATGTAGTTTGAAGAGCCAGGTCCAACCTAGCCCCCAGGTATGGCAGAGCAAGTTGATTCAAGAGGTATTGTTATACATGAGGTTCAGCTGGAAGACAGCTGAACTGATGCTGAGTGCAAAGTGTTCTGTCTGTACAGGGAACTTTTCCAAGCTTTTTAGTTTGCCACTCAAACCCCATAGAACACCAGGCTGTAGCATCCTGAGTTAAGTTCTGATTCAGCTGCCCATCTGTCCTTTTGCTCTTCTTTTCCCACTTTGTGCATCATCAAGTTGCAGCACAGCTGGAGTAAAAAGAAACTCTGAGACTAAAGTCCTGTGGTACAAGTACAGGACTAATGCTGGACCAGTATAAAGGGGAATGGCAGAGTGGGAAATCTCTGTTGGAAATATCGGGGAGAGAGTTTAGACCTGAGAGAAGACCATGCCCAGCATCTGCCTGCAGCATGGCCACATTAGCTGCCCACTGGGATAAACACTCCCTGCATTACCAGTACCCGAAGGAGAAGGCAGCTCAGGCTTCCTTTCCTGTAATCAGTCAAACAACATTTTCCAGGCTCTCAGATTTTATAACCTCTTTACCTTTTCATTTAACAAAGATAATTTCATAAAAGGTGAGTTAATGCCTCAAAAGAGGGTAGGAGGCATTCAGCTTCCTAGGTTCAGCTAGAACAGGAGAGGTTTCTTTACATAATCCATATAGAATAAACAAACATACCCGTCAGCAGAGAGACTTGTGTAGATACCTTGTTTTTTTCCTGCCTAACGTAACACACAATTTAAGGAAAACGGTCCTCACAAAACAAAAGCAGGAAAAAGTTTATTTGAAAGCACTTCTGAGCAGAGTGAAAAGTTCAGTGTTTCCCATTTTCCAGGTCACTCTAATAAGCAGAACGTTTCCCTAATCTCAGCTGTAATTTTCTTAACAGCATTAGATCACAACAAAAAATGCCTCTGCTGTGTGTGCTGGTGAAGGGATGCTGCATTCCCGTGTGATAGGATTTGTGGTGATGTCTCTGTTGCAGGTCATCCTGAACCCGCTGAAGCAGAGGATGTCACTAACAAAGGGAGCACTGAGCATCTCTGTTATCTGGCTGCTGGCAACCTGTTTCTCCCTACCCCATGCTATCTATCAAAAGCTTTTCCAGTATAACTACAGGTGAGCTGTTTCCCCTTGCAATAGAGCATGAAGAGGCCTGATTGCCCTTTGCAGCAGTGGCTCTCAGTGATGAGCATGGCTGGAATGGCTCCATGGCTTGGGGAAGGACACAGTGGAATCATCAGGAGATTGTGTGTGGATGAAACCTCTCTTCCCAGTGCCAGCATTTTGCCGGAATGCCAGACTCAAGGCAAAGGGGATAATCTTAAGTGGACAGTATTTTCAACCTGAGAGCACTGTCCCAGGGAGCAGGGTAAGGAGGCAGTAACATGCAGCAGGAGAAAGATTATTGTAAATATTGGGCTTCTGTATAAAGGATAAGCATCTTTATTCCTACAGCACAGCCACTTCCCTCCCATCGGTACGGCAGGGAGAGGGTTTGACTGCTTTTTGTTGCTGTTTGTATATGAGAGGTTACACAAAATGGGAGTGCAATCTGGAGGTCCGCAGCCTTTCCTTACTTGTGTTTGTGATTGATACCTCTCTGGGGGTATAATATCTTCACCTGCTTAGACTTTGTAAATGAAGCATAGGGTTACTCCTGTACTTGCATTGCTTTCACAGCTGTGTTCAGGGTATTACTGAACAAATTGCTTATGAATGAGCAACCACCGCTATCTGTTTCATGGCACTCATCTCTGTTCATCCTTTAGCATGACCAGAGGAAACAGCCTCGCATGGGCATAGAATCATAGAATGGTTGGGTTGGAAAGGACCTTAAGATCATCTAGTTCCAACCCACCTGCCGTGAGCAGGGACACCTCACATGAGGCAGCTCAGCCTTCCAGGATGTGCTGTTCTCGTCCCTGCTTTCCACTGAATGAAAATCCCAGTTGTGATATTGCTTGTAATAGCTCTCTGCAGGGCCAGAGGCTCCTGAGAAGTCCCAGCAGGGAGCTGTTTGGGTCCTGGGGACAGGAGAACATGGGCTCCACCAGCACCTCTCTGGTGCAGTGCATAGTAGTGCAGCCAAGTCCATGTCAAAATTTACCAAATCATGTCAAAATTTACCAAATCACCACATCCTGGTTGGTTCTCAGCCAGCCTCTTCCCTGAAGTGATCACGAACCTCTTCCTACAGCTCCGTGCCCCTGCTTTGGAGGGTGAAATGAGTTTTTAAGCTCTGCAAGCACCAAAGCATCACCTTTGCTAGTCCTCAGAAGCTCTCCAGTGCCGACAGCTGCAGCCCAGACACTGTGCTGACCTCAAGGCGTTCCCCAGGCAGCTGATTCCCGGGGGATATTGTGAGCGACGCCTGCCCAGCTCCCGCCTCCCTATGGCTTTGCTCTTCAGCATGGCCATGACGGGTCTGACCCCGCACCACGGTGTCACCTTGGATGCCACTCTTGCTTCCCTGTGCCAGATCTCCAGTTTCTCTGGCAGGTCCCCTTTGGCAAGCAGAGCTGCCCGCAGACAGGGGCTGGCTCACTTGAGCCAGCGGGCAAACTGGATCCTGGGGAGGAAAAGGTCAGGAGTGCATCTCAGAAAGCATGATCTTCCCTTCTGCGCCAGGTCCCCTCTTGAGCAATGTTGTCTCCAGGGTCCTCACTTGATGGAGCTCTGGTCCTGTGTCCGTTGTCGTCCCTCCTACAGCTGCACATGGGCCCTGCTTGCAGTCATCCGTTTTCAAGCAATCTTCTATTTGTGGCACAAAAGCCAGCTCCAGAGGTTGAAAACAGGATATTAAAGATATTAATCAATACTGCAACGAATAAATGCAGCTTGATGGGGACTAAAGTCCATGCTGAATATAAGCGAGCAGAGGAGAAGGGTTGAAGAGAGAAAGGCAAAATGGAACAAGAGAAAGAAAAGAGGGGGCGAAAAGGAGAAAACAGCTGCTGGAAATACATGTGCAAGTGTTCCTTTCTCCTAATGCTTCACCACTTCCAGACATCTGCAGGGCACAGAGGGTCCATACAGCACAACCACTTCCCTCCCAGCAGCACGGCAGGGAGAGCGTTTGCCCACACAGGCTTTTTATTGCTGTTTGCATATGAGAGGCAGTGCTCTTCAGAGGGTGCCGGGGTGCATCAGCAAGTATCTGCTGCCAGCCAGAATGTGTGAACAGAGCCTGGATCTGCTGGGTTGGCCATAACAGATTGCTGAAGCACTGTTAAAATAAGCTATCACATAGAGTTAAACTCAGTTCTTTTCTTAGTTAACCATCAGAAGTTAAACTGTCAGGCTTAAGTTAAAATTGAATTAAGCAAGCAAATTTTCTAGTAATCACAGCCATTTTAAGATGTAGCAATCAAAGCCAGTCTCCTGAAAAGCTGATGGGAAGAGGATGGTTAATATGGGAAGGAAGGAGTGCTCCCTGTGTGAGTGGTGTCATGCCTGTGAGGCTTTCACACAGCCCCTGGCCCAGTAGCCCTTTCCCTTCCTCTTCCATCCATAAGGATTTTGACTTCCCAGCCACTGCAGCAGTTTTCCGCTCTGGCTAAGGAGGTCCTGTACCTGTCTGGGGCACAGAAAGGTGGATGCCTGCACATCCAACTAGGCAAAGGCAAGTTAGAGCTATCACAAGTGTGCTGCAGCAGTGATCCCAGCATACACTGTGACACTGTCGCATCCTGGGAAGAGCATTTCAGTTGTGTTTGGCCAGACACAGTTCATGCAGCCTACGTGAAAGAGGAGTAACACATTCTGGGCTGGATTCGTGGTTGGGCTCATTCAGGGAAACCTGGGTGTGTAGTTCCAGGTGTGTAGGAATCACATATGGGTTTGGAAAAAAGCAGGAGTTTGGTGGGTCTCATACACTGCCCTCTTTCCTCTTGCACTGGGTTTTTGGGGAGGAGGAGATGGGCACTGCTGGGCCTCTGTTGCCTACGCACACAGGGAAGGGACAGATGCAGCCAGGTTAGTGCTGCTTTCACAGCACCCCCTTTTGTAAGAATGGGCCATCAGAGGTGACTTTTGCCATGTTAAGGGGTCACAAGGGACTCATTCAAATAAAATCTGTGGCTTCTAAGAGGAAACTCCAGTTTGTCTTTCTAAAAATTTCTTTTATCAGACAACAATTTAAGGGAAAATGGGAGTGATAAACAGATACAGAGATAGATAAGACATTAGCCAGTCTTATCCTTGGTGAGACACTGACATCACAAGAACACTTACTGGGAGACAGAGGTTTGATTGAGCTTGGTTTTGTTGAGCTGAGCAATGTTTGCCCCCACTCTTTCTGTACTACAAATCTGACATGGTAATTATGGGTGCGATGGAAGCCCCACTGTGCTTTGCCAAATTGGCAGTATCCATTTGCGCAGCAATGGCCACATGCTATGTAGGTATTTCTTTGTTTTCAAGGGAAGCCACTGTCCGGAGTTTGTGCCTTCCAGATTTTCCTGAGCCCACAGAGCTGGTCTGGAAGTATCTGGACCTGTCTACCTTTCTCCTTCTTTACCTCCTGCCTCTGCTCATCATCACTGTCACCTACATGCGCCTGGCCAAGAAGCTGTGGTTCCGCAATGCCATCGGAGACATCACCACACAACAGTACGTCACCCACCACAAGAACAAGAAGAAGAGCATTAAGATGCTGATGCTGGTGGTGGTGGTCTTTGCTGTCTGCTGGTTCCCTCTCAACTGCTACGTGGTGCTCATCTCCAGTCTAGGCATCAAGACGAAGAACTCCCTCTATTTCGCCCTGCACTGGTTCGCCATGAGCAGCACCTGCTACAACCCTTTCATCTACTGCTGGCTGAACGAGAACTTCCGCTCGGAGCTCAAGTCCCTGCTCTGCATGTGCCAGAGGGTGCCTCAGGCTCAGGACAATGCGCTGCCACCCATGGTCACATCCTGCCGTGAGGAGTGGATGGAGCAGGCCAGGTACTGGAAGGGACCTGCCTCGCAGACTATTTGCTCCACTGTAAACATCCAGACAGCCAACACAGACCTGTGAGCCGCAGGGCTGAGGTGAGTTAGCTGGGTTCAGTGCATGTCAAAGGGACCTCCAGCAGTGATGGTGCTGCTCTGGTGTTTTACTTGTACCACAGTTAGCACCCCCTTTACTCAGTGGGGTGGGAGAAAAGCCTCTCAAAGACCCTCCATGTAAGCCCACAGCTGCAGCTGCTCCAAGGAGCAGGGGACATGGAGGTCCACAGATGATCATTTGCATTCAGTGTTTCCCATCTTATTACTATCAAAGGGAGGGGGACCTGGGTTTCCATCATTGCTCATGCTGTCCCAAATTGCTGGCTTGTCTCACTAGTAACACATGCCACACCATGAGGGCTTTGTAGAGGAACAGAAATGGACCCATTCTGGGGGGGAAGGATTTGGTCATCCAGGTTGACTCCATCCATATGGAGTTTCAGCAGATTATACCAAAACCTCTCAGCAATGCTAAGGGTCATCAACAGCACTTTCCCCTTCAGAAGGTTCTGTTCCTCCTCCCCTCGCTCCTTCTGCCCTGGCTCTGTCCCACCCCTCCCTCTGCCACTTGTGGAGCTGCAGAGCCAGCAGCCAAAAACCAGCCCCAGCCAAGGCCAGACATCAGTGACAGCAGCCTCAGATGGCACCTGGGGGGACAGATTTAGCCCATTGAGGATTTACTTTTGGTTTTATTACAAATATATTAATTCAGGAAATAAACCTAAAGAGCTAAATTAAAGGCCACAAAATACTTCATCAGGGCTGTCACATTCACTAGCTGAAGAATTAAATCATTCTGCATAATTACTAATTGCTGTGAAAGAGTTTCATTTAAACAACGGAATTGACTGCCTAAGAGGGAAGGTTTTGTTTACAGTCCTGGGGAAAAGACAGTTTAATTTAGTTATGCTTGGGAGACAGGTGAAAAAAAAAAGATACAGAATAAAGGAAAGATTTAGTACATGACAGAAGGGAAAAAAGAAGAAGACAGGGAAAAGAGACATTAAAGAATTGCCATGTGATTTCACAAGCAGTGTGGAGCTGGGCACTGGGGAGCAGGAACTGAAAGGATCTCCTGGCCTGGCCAGAGATGCCCCTTTCTCCATCGTACCATTCCTCTTAACAATTGCACCAAGACAGGCTTCTCTCAGCTTCCCTGGTTGAGCTTGAGCAAGGGATTCCTAAATCTTTTGTAGGAATAAAGTTATTGATGTTTTGAGCCCTGACAGTTCCTGGGTAATCCTTTAAGACTCAGTGCTGGTGGCTGGTACATGCTGCAGTGGTGACAGAGGGGCTCTGGTACAGGCCAGCCAGAGTGGTTACTCTCTGCTCCTCAGACCCGAAATTCATATGGAAAAACAGTACTTGTAGCAAAAGGCAAGCAAGCAACCAACCAAACTGCTTTGGATAAAAAGTATTAGTGCAGGCTCACCTTAAGTTCTGTGTGCCATTCTGGGCCCTATAATTTAAGAAAGATGTGAAAGTCCATGTATGTGTCCAGAAAAGGGCAAAAAAGCTGGTGAAAGGGCTGGAAAGGATGTCCTAAGCAGAGCAGCTGAGGATTTTGTATCTGTGGAAACGAGGTGACAGTTTTCAGTAGTTCAAAAGCAGTCATGGCTGCTGAGGGTCAGGTATGCTCCTGGTCTACCCTGGCGACAACTGCCTGAGGAGGAGGTGGGGAGAATGATGGGTATGAGGACATGCTCTTACCACCTTCCTAGGGCAGGATAAGACAAGCCAAAGAAAGAAAACTAAAGACTGATTTTTTTTTTCCTACTCTTTTTTCCCCATTTGCACAGTGAGAAGGAACAGAAGAGAAAGGAGGGAAGGTCCTTGCTCCCAGGTCTCTTGACCCCACTCAGCCATGTCCCTGTAGTCGGATGTGCATTGCAACATCTGCATGAAAAGAAGACAGAAGAGCATCATGAGTGGCAGCAGAAACAGATGAATACACAATCCCTAAGGTTTCAGCTGGAAACCAACAGTTATTTGAATATGGGGATTTAAAGCAGCCTGCTGCTGGGTTCAGGCACTGCCCTCTCTCTGCTTAGAACAGGGTGTGTTTTCAGTTGAAAAACATCATTATGAGTTTTTCAGAATGTTGAAAGCATCTCTAATTAATGAGCATTACCCCATTTAATTGTTAAGTGAAACTGTCGTTTGCGTTTTTACTATTGTTGGCTCTTCTTCAGCTTGTAGTGAATGGCCCTCAAACTACCATGTATTCCACTGTATCGAAATAGGTTTTCTTCCCTGTGGAAAGGTGGATGTCAGCATGGAGCTTTCAGTTTCCACTGCAGAAGTGTAGCAGCCCATTTCCACACAAGTATCTTCAGATGTTTAAGAGACTTTTCCCCAAAGCTTGCAAATCCCAACACCCTTCATCCTTTGGTTAATGTAACACAAGCTTTTAGCAGGATCTGAGGATGTAAATGTAATGCTGTTATAAGATATGTGCACTGGCTTCTCCCAGCAACTGGAGAGTTTCCTTTAAGAATGGAAATGTGAGTGATGACAGTCTCGGGGTAAACCAGCAGATGGCCAGGAAAAGCCTGGAAGATGCCATGCTGCATGGGCACAGGAAGGAAAAACATCCTGGGAGGTCCTACTTTAAACCGGATAACTGGAAAAAGCTGCCCCCCTCCCCATCCCTCTAATAGTCCAGGAGAGGATGTAAAATCAGCAGAAAAAATAGCAGAAAAGAGAGTTCAGTAATGGCTGGGTAAAGCATGGAGTTACCCAGGACCTGGTCTGGAGGCAGGAAGGGAGAGCTCTGTGGCATCAAACCCTACTTGGTGCTTGCACTGTAACTGGAGGACTTGATCTGGGCTGTGTAACTTCCCCCACATGCTCTCACAGGGTCCCTTCAGAAATCAAGGTTCAAAATCACTCTTTACAGTAGATAAAAGAATTCACACCAAGTAATGAGTAGAGTACCCATCTCCAGTGCTGCAGCAGTAGTGTTAAATGAGCCATGATAGCAGCATCCATCAGTTAATAAGACAGACGCAGAGCTTGGTTACCTGTGATTCATGGGCTTATTTGCTGTTCACAGTTATTCAACTGATTCAGATACTTATGAAAAACACCACTGGTCTCACCCCAAAACCGTGCAGAGTTTAATAAAATCATTCACGTAAAATCTAATCCTGGATGAGCATGTTCTTTATTTGCTAATTTGTTGCCCCAGACAGAACTTTCCAGGGGCCTTTGAATAATGCCCGCAAAGCAAATGTTTCACAAAGAAACAACAGAAGATGGAAATTCACATCCTGCCCCCCAAAGCTCTCTGTAACAGCTCAGGGAGCTGTGCATGCCCCAACACCCAAGCAGCAGCGTGAGCATGGACATCCAGCGTGTTGTTCTCAGTGTACCTACAATCCACAGTGCACACGGTTTCTAAAGAGATATTTCTATGTTTTCTTTCAATATACATATTATATCTTGGGCTTCTATGAAATCACCATAGCAACAACAGTAACACTGATATCTTCCATGAGAAAGATTAAGCTATGGCTCTTGTTGTGATTCTGAAATGAAATCTACCTCTCTGCTGGCAAATTCTGGGGTATAAGCCAAGCCGGGAATTAAATCCCATCCCCAGGGTGCAAGATGAATAGATAGAGATTTTCAGTTGTTTGCTGAGATGCCTGCTTAAGAATGCTGGTACAGGCTGGCTGCTGGTTTCCTCAGAATCAGCCACATTTCTGGTAAGCAGCAAGTAAACCTTGGAGTTGTACCTATCATCCCTTCAGTAGGAGAGCTGTTCTGTGAGCCCCTGTCACATACCTTCATAATCTTTTTCCAGAGGAACCAAAGACCTCATTCCAAAGTAGTGGGTCTCTCTTCACACCCCCTTGATGTTCTGCTAATCCATGTACCTGTCAATTGTAGCATCTCTTCACTGCTGAATTTTTCTCCCCTAGACGGGCATGATGTAAGAGCTGGCTGTATTGCACCCTTGTAATAGTTTAGCTATCTAGACTGGTAATTATCAATGGCTGAATGACACTCAAAACCTCACACGCTTTGCCCTGAGGCTGTTGCATCACTTGAGGATGCCCTGACTAACACATCTGCGCTCTCTCAGCAGCCTTCAGGCAAACAATAGGAGGCATAACATAATAAGTGAAAAATAAGCTGTGTTACGTTGTGTATTTGGGCAAGGAATAGTAACTGCAGGGCACAAGATCACACCTCTGCCGAGCTGCGGGTGCAAGGCTCACTGCAGCAGTCAGAGGGCTTACCTAGGCAAGTTCTGAAAAAGATAATCTAAGACATTCTGTTTTTACTCAAACAGGTCAAAGTCTGAGCCAACTCAGCAGGTAGAGAGATGCTTAAACATTCATTAATTTGCTTTCAGAAACACTGCTCACCTGTGGGAATGGCTTCCCGAGTGGTGCTGGAGGCAGCCCAATGTCCAAGACCAAGGAAGAGCATCCAAAACCAGGGCCACCACTTCCTGCTGGGGGTTCTTCTCCCCATTCCCAGCAGAGCCATGCTACTGTGCTGCTGTGGGTTTGTGCACTGAGACCTGTCTCGCCAAGGCAGCAGTGGCACAAGGGCAGCAGAAGCAACACGGTTTGATCCCTGAAGCCTGATGGTGCAGCAGCCCTGAGACCAGAGGGCTGGATGGGAGCAGGGCACGGGAGAAGAGTCCCCTAAGAAGCCTGTGCCACCTGGAGAGCCCTCATCTTGCTCACATGTTGTGGACCGAGCCATCATCCTGCACCTTTGGCTCTCCTCAGCAAGATCTGTCCCAGACAGGCAAAGCCACAGGAGGCAAGACCCCAAGGGTGAATTTGGAGGGCAGATTATCCAAACACTGGGTTACCAGAAGTCTGCTCTAGAGAAACCATTTGAGCACACACAAATCAGTATGCAGAGATGCAAGAGACATGTCTGAATGATTAACAACCCAGATTTACTAAGGTTAGCTCATGCCAAATGCATCCAACTGCCTTCAGCATAGTTGCTGATGAAGATGATAACAGAGAACACCGTGCAGGGAATACCTGAATTTCAGAG